GCCGGCCTCCGCCGGGTCCTAGCGGCGCCGGCGCACATGCCTGCCGTTCCCCTGAAAGGAGGGGTCTGGTCTTTGATGCTGGGGACCCACACTCTGCCCCGACTAGCGAGACGTGCACACCCTGAGGGCCACACGCGACACCGCCAAGTCAAGAGGCTGACACCTTTGACACACACACACACACACACACACACACGCGTGCGCGCTCGCGTCCGCGCGGTCTAAGCCACAACCTAGCATTGGAGCCTCACTAATTCTAATTCTAAAGCACACACTATGGCACTTAACCCTCCTCCCCCCAGCTCTGCCAGAGGGGCACGCCGCCACACTCAGATGCAGACAGTGATACACACACCCTCTGATACAAATACACACTGAATCACCACTTCACAGGCATACACTGATCCCCCCACACACACACACTCTGAGCTGGGCCCACTCTCAGCAACAAGGTGGGACACGATGATGACAGACACACACACACGCACACACACACACACACGCCATGCACTTTGTAGCACTGTAATAAAGAATTATGGAGTCATAAAGACACACTAGTTCACCATCCCATGCGGAGCTGTACACTGACAACTACATCTTTAGAGCAGACATACATACATACATACAGACTCACACACACACACACAGAAACAAGCACATGCACACACTCAGAGTACCTGAGAGTCCCACACAGAACCACAACCCCACAATACACTGACACCATCTCCCTACATACTCAGGGCTCTGCCAGCAGCTCATCACACTGCTCTACGCTGACACGCTGTGACAGACCCCTCCTTGAGGCAGTTGCCCACAGAAGCAGTGGCACACTCCAGATGGAGTCCACTAAAAGACACACTCTTCTACAGAGGGATGTACTGGGTATGGCCTCACTGGCAGGCCCACCCCTCCAAACACACACACACACACACACACACACACACACACACACACACGATGCAACCTCCACCCCACCCCTTTAAATAAAGGCTGGATCCAATCGTAAGGATTTCTCTTCACTAAGGAGTCCCACTCCTCCTCTCCAGAAGCTCTCAAGTCACAGCATCCACCCTGTCCTGTCAGGTGCACCTGGAGCCCAGTCCTCACCAGGGGTTGGTGCTAAGATCCTCCCAGAGGCTGAGGACAGTAGAGGCGGCAGGCGCAGGTGGAGATGGCTCTAACCCTGTCTTCCTGACAGGGAGTTGCATGCCTCCAACTCCCGCTAGGGGCAGAGTTGCTTGGCCAGGCTCAGAGGAGCTGGATTTCAACAGGTACAAGGCAGCGGGAGAGGATTAGATGGGGACCAGTCCTACCAGGCTTCCTGCAGGTCAGTCAAGGGACACCCAGGGGGAAGGGACTCAACAAAGTCTGAACAGCTGCTCAAGCCAAGTACAGAATTGGAACAGAGTCCATGGGCTGGAAGTGAAAGTTGAGCTCTCTGGATCCTGGGGAGATGTGGGTGAAGAGCCAGGGAATGAGAGGTAAATTCTGTTCCGTCCCAATATTCCAGGCTTGGAAAAGAGCTCCCTCCCTCGTCCATGTTCTTTACAGCATGTGAATATTTGTATTGCTACTAATAATGGCACCCAACTGTGTACCTTTACACAGCCCTCTCCAGGAAGAGCAACATAATTTGTAGGACCCAGTGCAAAAGGAAAATTTGAGATCCATATTAAAAAATGATCAGGAATTTCAACTGATGAAAGCAGGGTATTAAACCAAGTGCAGGGCCTTCCTGAGCATAGATGCATAATTCTCATGCCCAAGAAGCCAGCCAGGTCTGGCCCTCTGGTACCCATTGTCTCACTTAAAACTCACAATAAGTGGCCTTTATATGCCCAAGATGAAGTGCTTGACTCCTAGAAGTGGATGTTTGTAGCAAGGAGATCCTAGGTGAGCTCAAATCCAGCTCCCCTGGGAGGCCAGCACTGCCCTGCAGCTGCCATTTGGGAGAGGCAACATTGAAGAGCAGCCACAAAGGAGACAAAGGATGCAAGTTGAGGAGTCTGTGTACTATCAAGGAAGGAAGAGCCTTGGGAAGGGCCCAGTGTCCCTCAATACCTGCACTTCTGGCCTCTGCAGGGGAAGTAGATAGGTGCACCTGCTGACTCCAGAGAGAGATGCTGAGAAAGGACATTGTGGAGCCCATGGAATCATTGAGAAGGGCTTTGTTCATGTCCCAAAAGCAGGTGTGGGAAGATTTCCCAGTGTCACAGAGGCTACAGCAGTGGTCCTGCCATGATGCTAATTCATATCCAGTTCTTGCACCGCTCCCTGCTTCTCCTCAAGTCGGGGATTAAGAATCAGATCAGTCTCATCTCACATCTTCCCATTTCTCTGTATTCAACTCTTGACTACATTTGCTGCTTTCTCTGAGTCCCTTAATTATTGGATCCCAGCTATATAAACTGCCTCCTGACTTCATGTCACCTGCTGGTCTCCCCTCCCGCTCTCCCTCACTTCTTTCCTTCCCTCCTTCCCTCCCTCCAGCCATCCTTTCACTTTGTCACTGAGCCAGACACCATAATGTGTTAGATTTTTGTCCTGAACACTGATGACTCTGATAGGAAGAAGGTGACTCTTCCAGGGGCCTCCACTGTGGAGACATGGGGCAGAAAAGCATCCCAAAGTCATGGCTGACAAATGTGTGTATGAAACAGCATCTGCTGTAAAATAAACACACATATATTTTAGTAAATATCACACAAGGATTTTTGCCCCAGGGGTTTTCTGGAATCCAGAATTGCCATGTATACCTTGTTCCCCTGATCCACCAGGTTCCTAGTATTTTTCTCTTCCTCTAAATGCCACTTCCCCAGAAGGGCTTGCTCCAGTCCAGCTAGAGTACCCACCCACTTCCAGTTTCCTAAAACTTATCTCCTTGCTATCATCTTGTGTATTTAGCAGTTTACTCCTGCCTTCTCTTTCTTAATCCTGGCGGAGCCCACATGTAGAACTTGAGTGCCCAACACAGCCATTGAAATTTCTGTCTCATGCATAGCTATGCTATTTCCTAGCGTCTAGCTTGATTCTTGGCACATAGGCATGCTCACTAAATATTTATTAAATAAACAATTGATTTTTAAGATGCAATGTGTCTAGAATGACACATTTTTAATGAACTTGAGTGAGTTGCCATATTTGCTTCCCAAGAACTCAGGAGACCACTTGCTCTTGTTCTGGTCACAAACTGATCCCTGTCTGTACCCAGACATCTTATGATTGTTCATCAGATTCTACTGGCAACCAGGGAGAGGAAGGGTGGGGGGAGATTGCTCACTCACCATATCCCCCTGCCGGGAACTTGTGTCTGGTTGGGGAAGCAGGTGGCCCATCACTACATGGGACCACCTGCCTCTGAATATTCTCTGCCTTTAATTGCACACCTCTGGCCTGCTTCTCCACCACTACCCTGGCCTCCAGGGTGACATGGACTTGACCAGTCCACAGTACCCTGTGAAAACTGCCTGAATTCCTAGGCATCATATGCGGGAAGCAATGCAACACCTCAGAAGGAGAATGTACTCTCTTCTGTCTTCCTTTAGCATATCTTTTCTACAGTGCTATGAACTCTTTGATGCCTGCTCTGTGCAGTCAGACCTGAGGCTGGGTTCCGCACTTTGCTGGGCTGTGTATTTACTTGCTTTCTCCTGTGAGTGCCGCAGTGACTAAAATATGCCTCTGTAAAGATGCCAGTGACACAGATGGTAATTGCACCCCCTGCTGAGCTGGGCCTGCAGACACAGGGAGGTAAGGATGTGGAGGAGGGCAGAGAATCTGTACCTGTCTGGGAAGGAGGAGCCACCCTGAGCACTGCTGTCATTTTGGAGCAGTTGGATTCTGTAGGCATTGGGCAGAGGCACCCAGAAAGTTTTCAGAAATGAGAGAGAGAGAGAGAGAGAGAGAGAGAGAGAGAGAGAGAGAGAGAGAATGTGAGAACAGGCTGTGTACCTTTGTGCAAAATTTACTAATTTGAGCCCTGATTTGTGCCCCTTAAAAAATGGTCAGATTGTTTACTGACATAGAAGGACCTTTTTAAAAATAGGCAGGGAAATAAGGGGAGAGTGATTTGGGACCTATTCTGCTTCTATATTTGGGCAAATTGCATCATTTCTAGTAAATTTGCCCTTTTTATTTATTAACTTGTTGTTTGGCTTTAATGCTTGTGAACACAATGTCCTTTCTATATCTTGTGTATTTAAATTTAAACTTTTTAAACTTCCAAGTCCTATTTAAAAATAATTTTTATAAGGCCATAGCTGCCACAGATGGCGATTCTCCTAATGGATCTGGATAGAAA